ACAACGAGAGTGAAGAAATTCTATTAAAATTGAACGCATACATACAAACGCTGACATAACAAGACCCCACGAAACGACGTACATATCTTTTTGCGACGCATTAAAATTGCCACTTCAAATAAAACAAGAATTTGCCGAGGAAGTTAAAATAAATAAACAACTATAAAATGGTTTATTTCAACTTGGCCGACCTAAGAAAAAAATGAAAAGATATTTGCGTTTAAATACGTACGAAATATTTTTAGATCTATCAAAAATATATAAGGTGATTTTAATATTTCGTATACGAGGGGACTTCAATATACTTCAAAGAATCAATGAAATTGAAAATGCTACAATACCCCCACGTAAGAGCGAAAACTGGACTAACAGGAAAAGTTTTCGTTTAGGGCGAACAACAATCAGGTTGGAACAACAGTAGCATTTTCCAACTACTGCAACAATACATAATGACTTCAATAACTCAAACAAACCAAAAAACAACAAACAAAAATCATAACCAAAACTACACATCATAACTGTTTATGGTTCTAACATAATAACATACAAAATAAAACAAAAAAAAAATCGTAACAGTCTTCCAAAGAAAACAAAAAAGTTACGACAACACTCCAAAAGAAACAAAAACATCAATACAGATCTCCAAGGGAACATAAGAAACATTATAATCTTCCAAAAGAACAAAAAAATCATTACAGTCCGTCATCAACAATAAAACTTCCAACTGGGTACACAAATCTCAAAAGCAGGGCAAGAAGGGTAAAGAAGAAGAATAAATATACACAAGGCAAAAACTAATGCTTATCTTCCTTAAAAGCTCAACAGGTCACCTAGCGGACGAATCCAAAACTCATCGACCTAGCCGTTCCTCTTATGACAACTAATAAGGTCAAAGACACAGTTTGGGAAGGGAATGAAGGGGCAACATGAACAAATAAACTTCATCATTTCACGGATAATAATCGAATACAACATCTTCATACAAATCAGAAAGAAACGTTCACTATTCTTTAACAAAACTCGAACAGGGTCACAACATAAAACTGGGGAATTCTAAGTGGGTCATTCAACGGTAGTACTAAAAATACTTCAGATGTTTCACTAACATGGTCTCACAATCGACATAAACAATATTTTCACAATAAACGGCGGCCAGGTACTTTCACCTCAGCAAATCAAAACGTCACAATGGACAATGCAAGTATTTGTACCTCCGCTTCTACCAAATCATAAACACTTCATCACAAACACTACAACAAGAAGGAATGCTATTGAGACTAGGTCAATAGTCTTACTTCAACACTTAGAAAGGCTTATCCTTTCTAATATATCACGGAAAGGGGATGCTGCTACGCAATCTTACACAACAACAGAAGTATCCAAGGATACACAAATCCAGGTCACATGCCTGTACGTCCTACATGATACTTCAAAAACACAATACTCAAATCACAAACTAATACATTTTAGACCATCAACATATCTCCACTACAATATCTGACCACACAAAGACACGGAAAGACACAAAACTAACAGACAGAAAAAACATCAGAATACTTTCGCTATGTATTCTCAACAAATCGGCCTTAGCCAGGAATACACGAAGTCGTATCATCACTCTCTTCTACTTGTACACAAAAAAGAACTAGGGAGAAACACAAGACTAACAGACAAAAGAAAAATAACAATACTCCGCTTTGTCACTAACAAATCGGCCTTAGCCAAGGACAAACGGAATTGTATCATCACTCTCTCTTACTTGTAACACAGAATAGGAACAAAGAAAACTCGGGGAAACACGGAAATAACAAACATAAGGGAAATAACAATACTTTGCTTTGTCACTAACAAATCGGCCTTAACCATGGACAAGCGAAATCGCATTATTATTCCCTCCTACTTATAACACAAAAGACAACACGAGAACACACGGACTGACCATGGACTGTAAAATCAGAAACTTTTTCTTTTTCGGGGCTAAAAAAAGTTCACACATTGCCTGGACTATTAAACTTTAAAAATACGAAAAAATTTGACCTATATTTTTCGTACAACAGCTGATTTCTGAAACGCAATAAATTGCCAAACACTCAATAAGAAGACGAAATAGATAACTTATAAACACTTAAAGAAAGGACAGCGTCTACATACGAAATAAATTATTTCGTTAACGTAAACAAAATTCTTTTCTCAGACATGGGATATTATTTACTCAAGACGAATCTGGAAATAAACAAACTATTATCGTTCACATTTAAAAATGCCGACAATAAGGAATTACATCATTCCAAATACGTATTTTTTAATTCACAAGGAAATAGACGAAAATTATTTCTACATAATTTTACGAAAACTGTATATAGAAGAAAATGGAAATCGTAGCAGTTAACTTGGGACAGGAATAGACTTGATTTAACGAAAAACTGGATAAAACAAATCCACAAAATAACAGAAAAAAAAAACGGTTCGAAGCAAACTCAACGAACTTCACATACAGGGTGGGACAAAAATACTGAAACAATGATTGGGTGAAAGCAAATACACAACGTATACAAAACAACATACTCGATAAACTTCACAAACAGGGTGATACAAAAATACTAACAATATTGAAAACTTGACTTTTCAATGAGCTTCACAAAATAACAGAAAATAAAAAACCTTGCTCTTGTTCTGAAAACTTAATGAGACTGCTCCTAGGCAAAACTAAACAGCACCTCCGATCACGAGTATAACACTTGTCATCATTCAGATACAAGACAGGAAACATAAAAGGGGACTCAGGGGAACACAATCTCCTATTAACCCGTGGCATTACATACGCCGTCAAAGCTGGTTAATTAGGGAACAACAGGGGAACACAGGGGACTACTCTTCACATTCACAATCTCCTACTAGCCCGTGGCATAACACAAACGCCGTCAGAGAGGGCCTAGAGGAAACAATGAAATGACTTAGGACAAAAGACAAAACACAACTGTACTCATCAGCTCAAAGAAAAGTCACTCAAACAATAAACACATTTACTCAAAATGACCGGACAAAACAAAATTACAAAAACCGATTTTCCTGTAAGAAATGTCAAATCAATCAAAAATAAATGGCACAATAACGGTACACTTAATTTGTTACTGTAAATAACTTAAAATTCTTCTCAATATCAAAACATTATTTAAAATTCAATTTAAATATTCAAACTCAAAATATTTGCTTTCATTTACCAATACACATAAAATACATATAGAAAAATTCCTACAGTACACGAAATAAAAGAAACAACATTACATATGTCAATATACAACAAATACATCTGTTGATATACAATAATACATATGTTAATACAAGAACAATACATAGAAAAAACAACAATACATATGTTGATACAAATACATAAACAAACTGTTTGTGGGACACCGGGGCACTACTCGGAAGACAAGGTTTGATAAAAATGGCAGAAAACTAGGGACGAACTGAAAAAGATATGTGGCTTAGGAAAAGGGACAAATTCTAAAGAACGCCAGCCACGTTGGGGGCCATTTTTGTAACGAATATTTTGCCTACCACATGGGGTAATAATACAAAGGGTAGAAAATTGGGGGGAGAAACTAAAGGGGTGGAGATAAGGCAAGCAAAATAATCGCTACTGATGCGAACGGCACTCAGGGTTTCGTAGGAGAGCTGGGGTCGTGGATAAGTAAAAGATAAGGGCATTGGAATGGGGCAACTACAAAAAAATGAAATAAAGGGGTCATTAATCTCTTGGAACAAACACAATAAAAATAAACAAGAAACACCTCAAGGAATTTAATATAGGGCGCCACTTGAGGTGCCTAATTATACCTATTACAACCACTGGTTGTAACTAGGGAAATAATTAGAAAACAAATCAAAACATAAAAAAACATATCTTTTTCAAATAAGAATCAAAAAGGTTAGCTCAAAAAAAAATAAAATGTTAAGACAACAAAATTTAACATTTATTTATGTGTCACCACAAACAGTTACATGGAGAAATACAAAATTCAAAAACTTACATGTGTCATCTGCTTACAAACGCTGTTGCTACAATTGCATGGAAAAACTTACAAATTTTTTTTAAACAAAACAAAGTAAAATCAAAAAAACACTAAAACGAGCTGTCATAAATTAACATTGGATTTCAAAAAAAACTAAAGACAAATTGACAGCTTTACTCAAAACCTAAAATTTACAATTTTAAATGTTAACGAAAGCAATTATTATTTTATAAAAAAAATGTCTGTCTTTAGTATAAAATTTGAACAAAATGTTACCTTAATTCACATGACACACTTAACCTTCTGAAACCATAACTGGAACCTGGAACTGAGGGCTCCACTCTCTCTGGATGACGAAAACCTCCATCTCCAAACTGCCAAAAGCCTTGGATAAAAGCAGGAACAAAAGAAAAACAAAACGAGGATGTCCTCCAATCCTCACTCAAAACATTAATAATTGAAGCATTTACTGCTACAAAACCAATAACATAACTGCTACATATTCTTCATAATAAAAGATGAAAACAGAACACTTTACAAATTCGACGTGAATCTGGACATAACGTTGAACCGCTATTCAAAGCTGCTACAACGAGAGTGAAGAAATTCTATTAAAATTGAACGCATACATACAAACGCTGACATAACAAGACCCCACGAAACGACGTACATATCTTTTTGCGACGCATTAAAATTGCCACTTCAAATAAAACAAGAATTTGCCGAGGAAGTTAAAATAAATAAACAACTATAAAATGGTTTATTTCAACTTGGCCGACCTAAGAAAAAAATGAAAAGATATTTGCGTTTAAATACGTACGAAATATTTTTAGATCTATCAAAAATATATAAGGTGATTTTAATATTTCGTATACGAGGGGACTTCAATATACTTCAAAGAATCAATGAAATTGAAAATGCTACAATTTCAACTGCTTTATAGACTTCTTCGTATTCTTAAATACCATGTGTTTTGTTACTTACCCATGCCGGTAGATCATCAAGTCTGGCCAAAACTACTTCCTGTTCACTGCATAAAGCAGTCGCTTTAGCAATAGCTCTTTTTCTGTCGCTGGTCTTTTTCCATTGATCTCTAATAACAAAAAGAACTACAGGTCCTATGAACCAGGCTACAGACCATTGCATATAGCCTGCCAAGTATACGACTCCTACGACTGAGGCCTGAAAAAAAGAGTAATATTAAGGAGTCAATTTTAAACTAATTCCCAAAGATGTGCTAAATTAAACAGGATAAATAAATTTGTTGCGTTTATGGAACAGTCAACTGAAACTCGCACTCAAGTTTAAACACAGTCTTTAAAACATTTTTTAAAACTGATATTTAACGTAAATTCAGATTCTATATACCGGTTCTGTATCAATGGCAATTTTTATATATTCATAGTTTTATATGCAGCTCCAAATCTCGAGCTCTGCACTACACTGTCGATCGATTTTTATCGGATTGAAACAACATGGACATCTTTCAGAAAGCTAAAAAATTTTTCGATACAAACTCTGTTTCTTCAGTTAGTTTAAAGAAATGATGGAAACTGTTTCCAAATTTTTGTTGTAAATTTTGTTTGCTTTTGGTTCTTTGTTAACGTTAGCCTTGGTTGAATAAAAGACAGTTTCTGGAATTCCTACGGAAGGTAGAATGAGTATGTTTCTGTCTAGTATTTTCTGTTCTGCAGACTCCATTAATGTTTAGAGAGTCTGGAGGCGGGATCGTTCATGTAGAATACATTTGCAGAAGGCGAAGGTTCTCGTAAAAGGTGACTAATCTAAACAAATGCGAAAATTAAACTAAAAAGAAGAGAAATAGAAAATATATAGAAAATAAAGGGATGCATTGACGAGTTAGTAAACCTAACAAATCATCATCATCATCATCCAGCCGAATTTTCACATCCATTGTTGGATATAGGCCTCCTCCAAACGTCTCCAGTTCTCTCTATCTCTAGCTGCTGCAATCCAGTTTGTTTCTATTCTCTTTATGTCGTCGGTCCATCGGGTGGGTGGTCTGCCTCGACTTCGCTTGTCGGCTCTTGGTCTCCACTCCAATAATCTCTTCGTCCATCTTCCGTCTTCCATTCTAGCAACATAGAAAATACGATATAGCCGGTGGAAAATGCGAATAATGAAATTAAACAGGGAGCGCCACTATTGTACAGCAGCTTTGGTGCGAAATAGAAAGAAATATTAAAGTTATTGTGTAGTTCTATAGAGGAAACTGAGAAAAAGAAAAGGAATAGATGTGACAACAGAAACGCCAACAAAAATAACCGTCGGGACAACTACAAGGACCATAGGAATAAATGGCGAAAAGGACCCAGAAATAAAAAAAGAAAAACGGTGGACGAACTACATAAGAAAATGAGAAAGGCAAAAAGTACCGAGAAAATAATAGAAATTTTAGACGAAGAATGACCAGAGAAGGCAGGCTTATGAAAAGGTAATTATTTGCGAAAACAGAATTTTGGAGGTACTGGACTATGTGTTAATCCTGGTAATAGAGGACGCATCAGACACAAGAGTGAAGGGGAAATTAAGTGCAAGATACTCAGACTTCCCGGATTGTCCGTGGAAGAAGACGAAATTGGAAATACGTCCCAAATAACATGTATAGTAGAAAATGGAAAGATTATATAAAAAATGTGCTCAAACTGAAACAGAGAGAAGAACCAATGGTCTTATGGAAACCTATTAAGAAAAGTGACAGAGTGGGCAGCACGAGGAAAGTAGGTGACATCAAAGATATACGGCAAAACATTTTAAGAGAAAATCCTACTCAGAACTCATAAAACGAATTAAGTGAAGAGCTAGGAGAAAGAAATGAGGTTATCATAAACAAAGTTAGACAACCCAGAAAAAAAGTTTTGATCCTATAATTACGTGGAGGCAGGAAATGGCGGAACAAGTCAAGAATTTAGTGACATCAAGACAAGGATGACTAACAAAAGTGGTGGCAAAATGCGGAAGAGTGAAATAGAGGTTTCTGCTGGCGGACCTGGATTGTCTGACCACAGATTGGCGGAGAAATTTGCGTGTAGTGAAAAATTCCGTGAAAAATAAGAAAAACAGTGCAGAAAGAAGAATTTGTGATATAGATGTGAATGAGGATATAGCCAGGAGACTTCTAGTGGCAAAAATGATACGTCACAGTAAAGGATATGGTGAAGGTGATAAGATAATATTGATAACAAACATATGGCCACACAGCAAATAAACTGTGAGAGAGAAATACAAGGAGGGTACTGAACCCGGGATGAGGAGTCGTGTACAATCCCAGTGTCAGAAAACTACTGTAAGGTGTTTCAACTGTGATGATCACAGATATCAAATATCTACTTGATAGCCCAAATTCAGGGTAATTATCAGAAGAGCGAGTGGTGAAGTTGGAAGAAAAGTAAGAGGTTACTGAGAAGTAAAATGGCGAAGAAACGTGTGTTAAGACGGCCGTGATGGTCAGGTAAGTCCGATTGTCGTCGTCATCGCGATTGCTAGAAAGGTTGACATTCTCATAGCGGCGGAAACAAACACTATATTAGAGCGCAGTAGGGAATGGTTCGTGGATATGTCGGACGTTGTCAGTTTACGAATAGTGAACAGAAGACTATATATGGTATTAACACGTATGAAGGATTTCTGACGATGGATGTGAAAGAAGTAACTGTGGTATTCTGCTACATTTCACTAACTTTTATAGCGGGGAATTATGAAAAGTGTCTTGACGAGTCTTTTGCAAAAAAAAATAATTGCGAAGAGTTTGTAGTGCTGGGAGACTTCAATGTAAATGTTGGTGTGGGGACTATCAACAAGGGATCATCAGCGAACCAATCGCCAAATAGTACTCCAGATTAACGTTAGAGACAGAAGGGCTCGAAGCAATGATAAAAAAAACTATGAGGAATTGTACGAACAGTTAATTGAAAAGTAAATGCCTATATTAGAAAAAGTCATGCGGCGAGATTGTTGTAAGAGGCACAAGATACCAGGGCAAGAGGAAGAGGTGACTGAATCGAAACTAGAAGACTGGATATCGCATACAATGCGCAAAAGAAGAAACTGAATAGAAAGATCCGAGCCGAGAAGAAGAGGCATTGGAGAGAACTAAGTGACAAGTTGGATGATGAAAAGGTGAAGAGAACGCTGAAGAGAAAGGAACAGGAAGAAAGGTAAACCTATCGGAGACAAGGTGTCCAGGAGCAAGCAGAAAGATAAGGAATGTAAGGCTGCGAGATTATTAGAGATTATTGACGTACCCAAGTTCAGATATATCGGTAGTTGGATAACTAAAGATCTAGATCCAGACATAGAGATACGTAGCAGGATTGAGCAAGCCAGAACAGCATTTACTAATATAAGAACCTTGCTAAGCAATAGCAGCCTTAACGCTTCGATATCGCTTTGTAAAATGTTACATTTTACTCCATACTGCTATATGGTGTAAAAACCTGGACCATAAAGGCCAATATGATGAACCGTTTTTAGGACTTTGAAATGTGGGTATTTAGAAGACTACTTAAAATTCCCTGGACAGATCGCACAACAAATGTCGAAGTATTAAATCGAATGGACAAAGAACGAGAATTGCTGCCAATAATAAAAAGAAGAAAACAGCTTATCTGGGTGATATATTTCAAAATTCCAAGTACTAGTTCTTAAAGCTTAATGCTACAGAAACGGTCATTGACAGAAGAGAAAGAAGTTTAAAATGGTTTGGACACCTATTGGGAAGGCCTGACGAACGTTGACCCCCCAAAACTTCACAAATGGAAGCAGAAAAAAAAATTTCAAAACCCCCTCAGACAAATTCTGGGTGCGCCACTGGATAATACAGTTATTTATAGTATCCTATTTTTGTTAGTTTTCTTTTGTAGGCAGGGTTGTTGACATAAATCTAATTTTGTTTTCGATAGTTTGCATTCTTATTATGTTCAATAAAGTTGCGAATTCTGTATGTTTTCTTTTTTAATGCAAATTGCATCGTACAAAAATACTTCTCGATGATACAGCAGTTAAACAGTGAATCTCCAACATCGAATTAATTGAAAACGAGTTCATCATGAGTCAATTTTGTTGTTTTATTTTCAATTAAAAAATATTATTTATGGAATTCAATTAATTATATTGAGAAATAAAGAAAAATAAATTGATTTAAAAATTTTTAATTAATTCAATATTAATTAAAGTAATAAAATTAAAGTACTCTGTTAAAGTACTTATGAGACATAAGTTTTCTCTGGAATTTCTATAACTTGATGTCTTATTTAATTATCATACTGTAGAAAAAGAAATATTGAATGTTTTTAATACATCAAATTATGCAATTATTTGTATAACTTCATAATATGCGTATAACTTATAACGTAAAGTAAACGTCGTGTAACCTTCTGGCCTAGACTTAGTGTTAGGATTTTCAGGTAACGCTGGCGCGCTTAACATTTCTTAATGATCACTTACATCGCCGGGACCGATGGCGTTACGTACCGTCCGAATCACAGTGGGGCTCAGTTAAATTATAAATTGAAAAATTTGTCAGTGCCGCGTATTGAACCTCCAGTAAGATAGCCACTGCACTACGGTCACCATACTGATATTTCCTATTGCAACATATGGCTCTGAAACGTTGACTGTCAAGCTAACGCAAACAGAATCAACGCTTTAAGTGCTTCAAGAAAAAAATATAAATACCAGACTGATTATAAAAATAAACAGAAATATTATATGGTAATTTGGTTAGGTGATATCACTAGAAGGAAAAGGGGCTGGGAAGACTGATCGCCGAAGGCAGAAGATCAAGAGGCAGATCTTCTTCACGGTGATGTGATCAAATTTAAAAAATCACAAGACTCTCCCGTTCAGAAGCATCTCACAAAGCTAAAAATACAGTTGAAAGTTCAATCACAGTCAATACAAAATCATGAACTCATCATATCCTTGCTTAGGATAATGGACTGACGAGGAGTTTGTCTAAAATAATTTTACAGATTAAGGCATTAAATATTACGAATGCATATGCTTCAGCAATTTAGACCACTTTTTCGACACTCACAGTTACGAATTCATTCGTTTTTGTAAACACACATTATGAGGAAAAGTAATTACTGCAGCACGTACTGTTATATTTGGTGTAACATATTCGTTAATCTTCTTCCAACCCCACTTAAAAGCTTTTTTCTCATTCAGCCACTGCTGTACCTGGTGGTAGGTTCTAAACGAATTCTGGCTGGAAGCTTCTGAAGTGGGGGGTAGTGCAGCTAACTTGAGTAAAGAATGTATCGGATGCTTTGCAATAGCCTTCAAGTAAGACTGATAGCGAAAACATCCTAGATCTTCCATGTTCCTGGCACCAAACATCGCAAGAAGGAAGTGCTTTTCGGCGTCAGCTACTGCACTGGGATCAGCTTTGAGGTCGTTAAACAATAGAAGTTTTCTATGAAAACTATTCTATTGTTTCCTACAAACTATAATTTTCTATTGTTGGCTTGCACTTTCCTAGACAATATAATTTTCTCCTTCTTGCAGATACCAAGTCACACCCTGTAAAGGCGTATATTGCAAGGAATACATCCTTCATATTTCCAATAACTTGCTGAATGTCAGCAATAGTGTAGGCCTTTTGCTGCTGATTGGCTTTCTTTGGTACCACCATTTACAGTTTCTACTCTGATGGTGCGTGGAGAGTCAATAACACTAGTATTCGGGTATACTAGGTATAAAACATTTTAAACCTACATCGCCCTCAAAAACCGACTAGCGTTTCATCGAGTATAGTATTAGCACCTAGTAAATAAGAATTTTGAGAATTTTGGTTGAATATCTTTAATATGTGGGAAATTGCGGCAGCTGGATCAGTTTTAGCTCGATTCGCTCTTTCTTCTCGTGTATCAAATCGTAGGCATATTAGCAGTACAGTAAATCTACGTGCTGAGAATGCTATGCATTCTAATATTTCTCTCCCCATACCATCACTAGCAAACAGTGCGTTGATCGAGGTGTCTTATGCAGGCCATTCACGTTCCGACTTGTGGTACGACTAGTGGTTAAACTTCTGCAGTTGGATCTGAAATCGGACCGTGAGTGGGCTAGTTGGATTAGTTGGACAACTAGTGGTACGACTAGTGGGACGACTTGAAGATCCGACTTTCGACTGGCGACGAAGTCGGAGCGTGAATGGTGAAGTTGGAAGTCGGATCACAGGTTGGATCGAAAATTTCCTCAGTCAGTTGACTTTCGGCACCTGTTACCTATGAGATTTCTATGAAATACTTTACGCAAAGATCTCTAGTTCGCGAATATTTAATAGAAAGTAAACTTTCAATTGCACGAAAATTACCTTTTTGTTAGGGCAAATCATTTTCCTTTCTGTAGATCTATTTCGGACATTCCGATACATATACATTCATATACAGGTAAATTTCCGATACTCCGGATTGGCTACGAAAGAATTATCAACAAACAATGAAAATTAAATCATAGTTGTAGCAAAAGATCCCTAGTTCGCAAAAACATAATAGAAAATAACTTTCAATTGCACGAAAAGTTATTCCTATTAAAAATATACGACACACACATAACAAAATAAATCCCAGCTCCAGTTTAAAACAAATAAAATATAGATTTTATACCTATACAAATCTTTAAAAACTATAATTTTTTCCTACATCTTAAAAAGTCATAAAAATCAAGTATTGAAAAAATTAATTAGTTCAGCCCTAGACAAATAACTAGAGAAACGAAACCTAATTTTTAAACATACATATCATATTATTATATTTTGCATAGTGTTTATTCGATACAATTTTTGGTTAAGCGATGTATACCATCGTGAAAACAACCTAGAACTGAAGCTGGACCACTAGTTGGATAAAAAGTCGGAGCGTGAGTGGAGACGAATATCCAACTAGTAGTCCTACTAAGTGGGACCACAAGTCGGAACGTGAATGGCCTGTCTTAGTTCAGCTATCCAAAAATGTATTGATCATATTTTCATATTTATAAAATTTAGAAAAATTGTACTTTCGTAATTTAGTAAATTAATTGTATCGACAGGTTCTTATAGTTTTTTATACATATATTTTATTTTTAACACTAACAAAAAATTATTAAGTTTTATTATACTCTGCAATAATAGTATAAACATTTTTTCCAAGCCCACGGTAGGAAGGACAAGTTTATTTTAAACAACAACAAAAAAATTGTTGTTTAAAACAAAAGACTACCTAGTTTGATAACTATCAATTTAAGAAAAAAATATATTTATCATTATAATAAAAAAGTAGTTTTACAATATTTCAAAATTAATCTAATATATAACTAATATTTTAAAATAGTTGTTTGGGATTTTAAAATAGAATCTTGAAAGGTAAAAACATCATTGTTTATATTAATTCGAAATTTTAATTCTGACATGAATGATATTATTTATTTTTAACAATAAAATAATCCAACGCAACTAACCTTTTTCACGGCACTAAACAAAATGCTAATAATGCTAGTGTTTTCCGCAAATTTCTTGTCGACGACTTCATTTTCTGGTTTTTTTTTCTCCATGATCTCACAAAACTGTACACCCTGTACACTTCACTGACTACCGATTGATTTTCAATACACAAAAAAATTATAATACTTTTCAGCAGGATTGTTTAAAAAATATATATAACCTAAAAACAGATAGTAAGACGATCAATAAACCGCCGCATTTATTGCAGGATTAGGTTCATGATTTTATTGGAGTATAAAAATGGATCTAGCAAACTATGATGTCACGTTCTATATGTTAACCTCGCGGTGGGTAATTGTTTACTAATGTAAGCGAGTGAGTAATCTTTTTTGGAATTCCATGTCAATAGAGTATAAATTTGATTATACATTCATCTTCACCTTCACTTGATAAAATTATACATGATAGAAAGAAATAGATAGACATCTTAGATAAATTTAAAGCTACTAAGAGGTAGGCAACATAGCATACAAGCCAAGTATGAGTTCATGGATGAATTTTATTATTGTAGTTTACTTAGAGAAAAAAGGACAGATCATGTAAAGTTGATAATTAATAATTATAAATTATGAAAAATAAATAATTTATAACTTATCATTCAAATTATTTTCCATACTCTACATATCGTAAAAATATTGTTCATAAACTAATAGCGAAATTATTACTATTATAGGTCGGCCGAATTTATTAAATCAAAACTGCTTATTTCACAAAACGTTGAATCCAGATCCAAACCATATAACAATAAATATTAAATTTAAAGCACACAACTAACTAATTACATTTTCGTTTTCTTGTGTTATTTCTGGCCCTGAGTAAATTCCAATTACTATTTAGTTCAAATGAATTTTTTTTTATTTTTCCAAGTGGGCCGGAAATTGTTAATAACAAATAACATAACAAAAAGAAAAACAATTTTCCAAATCGCTTTAAGTAAAACTGTTTAGGAGTGTCCCATCGAAATAAATACTTTTCCTATCTTGAAAATTTTTCGAAAAATGGTTCCTATTCGAGTCATTTGGAATTTTTTGTTAAAAAAATTTCTTAAAATAGTGATTTTTTTTCTAAAAAACTACTAAATGAATTTCAATTCTTTCAAAAGCTTTATAATTTTTATAATTTTTAAACCTTGAAGTATAAGTAAGAATATTTTTACAAGGATAAATGGAGTCTATCTACATCTATCTATCTCCAAACACAGAACCAAATGTGCATTTCGAGCAATATATTGCTATATGCGATAATAAGGTTGCGGCGATACAGGCGCGCGGAGCTTAGAAACTTTTAAAACATTATCATCAGATTTAAGACCCACTACCATTTACAAACATGTGAGATGGTCAAATTGTACAAACAGCTAAGTCCCTCCCCTGGTTGTAGTGATACTAGAAGACAATATACACACATTCTTTCAAAAGTTATGTATCACCCAAATTTTTCGCTATTATTATCTATTTTCAGAAACTACTTACATATTTATACGTTATAGATCATTTATAAAAAAATATTATAACGTTGACAGATAGGTACATTTTTTAAAGAGATGCTGTTTTTCTAATAACAAATAAATTTATTTTTAATGAAAATGTGTTTAACAATTTTAATACTGCCTTCAAGTCGATCAATAATTTCTTGTGGCAGATTCTCTAATTCTTCTCTGCAGACCATTATAAGTTCATGATGGGTTCTAGAAAGATTCGAACATGAACAGCCCTGGAGAGCACATTCCATGCATATCCAATGGGGTTCATGTCACCACAGGCCACTCCAAACGGCGTATACCTTCTGTCTCAATATAGTCATTAACAGCTTGAGTTCTATGTGGGTAGTTATTTATCTATAAATACAATTTATGGATATGTATTTAATCGAACATTCGTATTTGTTTGAAAAGAAGAGTATACGAGAAATGCCTTACCTGTGAGCACAAAGGCACCGAAACATTAACCTTGTCAAAAGGTTCAATAAACAAACTGAGGGTGGAGTAAAGAGGAATGGAAAGAGTGATATTGGGAATCACCAGGAAAGACAGAATACCGAACGCTGACATAAGACGGATGACGAAAGAAGTTGATATTTTACGTGTCACACAGTCTAAATGGAGCTGGCAGATCACACAGCCTGAATGACCGATAACTATTGGAACAGAGAACTAATAATATGGAGACAAAGAGGGGATAAAAAAGTGCGGGTAGGCCACCGTCCAAGGATGATACCGGTAGGAAATAGGAGTAGGGGTTTTATATGCAACCATTTACCAAAAAACAAGTATTTTTCCTTTTTTATTTATTAAATTTCCTGTAAAAAAATTTAAATTATATGACTAGTAACATATTTATAATACTATGAACATTCATATATTTTTAAAAAATAAAATTCTTTTTACGGGTTAATATTATTAAAATAATGTTCAACAATTGCTATTAGTCTTTCCGTATACATTTGATTGTTTCCTAAATTAACAACGGACAAATTTTCTGATACTGAACTTATATCATCTAAGTTATCCAATGATGGAGCATCGTCTGGTTTAACAAAATTAAAGTCCATGTAACAACAGGCATGCGCAAATCCATATATAGCGTATTTTCTCCAATGATCCAATAATACAGAATATGGAAATATAGAATGGGCATCATTCCCCAATTCCGTTAAAAAGTTTGTTAACTCCTGGTGGTAGTATTTCAACAAAGCTGGAAATTCACCAATTTCTGGTTTAGATGCAACTGAATACAAAAAGTACGATAAATCTATCACGGGAGAATGATATCTGACTATTTGCCAATCTACAATTGCCATATCATGTGGATTTTCCTTGTTATTATCCTAAAATAAAACAGTAGTATTAAAAAAAATATACCGGGTGGTGAATCGTCAAACGGGCCATAGGAAACTCGATGAGAAATTTTAAATTGTTGAATTGCTGCTTCCCTAATTATTTTAGATCAAAAGTCATAAAAAACTATTTGTAGAGGACTAAAATCTAAATTAAAAACAAATGTTAAAACCGTTCTACGAATCAAATGTACTTCAAAATTTTGAAAAAATGTGATACATTTTTCAGACCACCCCTAAAAGTTAGGCCATACGTAATGCAAGAATATATTAGGACGTTTGTGTTCTTGGTTTGTGTTCTTGATTTGTATTTTATCATATTAATGTCAGATGTTTGACAATTTGAATTGTCAATTTTTTTATTTTATAATTAAATTATAAACAATGAATTTTACTAAATACTACTACTACTGAACATTATTACTTTGTGAACAATAAATTATATTGTTTACAAATCGATCAATATAATGAAATGTACTCAGTTGACGAAAAATCGCATAATGTTGTATTCAGGCAATAGCGCGAACCTTTTCCTGCCACTACCGGATCTTTATTTAACGTACGATATTCTAATTCACTAAAATTTAATTCCATGTTAAGTTAAGTTATACAACAATTCAATGAATTCCAATATACTGTTACTGTGATCTTTATTACATAAAACATAGTTTTATTAACATAAAACTATAACAAATGTTATAATAAAACATGAATAAAACATTTTTATTATTGCTTTTTTCTTCTCAACTGAGTACATTTTTTAATCAACTTAATTTTTTTTAAATAATAAATCACAAAATTTTGGCCATTTAAATCATAGATAAATATAATATAATTCGGCTAATGGATTAAGTCCACAGTCAAAAGAAACCAACAGCACACACAAATATAATATAATTGGTTTAAATATTGCCAAATATCAGAAACAATAATATGACAAAACGCAACACGTAATACACATTTTTTCACAGAAAAATGTAGTTATTATATTTTAGCAAAATTTTGGAATACGTTTAAGTCGTAGAATAATTTTAACAGTTGTTTTCAATACATATTTGAGTCCTCTACAAATAGTTTCCCATGACTTTTGGTGTAAAATAATTAGTGAAGCAGAAATTCAACAATTTAGAATTTACCATTGAGTTTCCTATGGCCCGTTTGCCGATTCACCACCCTGTACCTATATAATAAATATAGAAAAACTAAAAATTCTCAAGGAGTCTAGGTATCGTGGCCGGAATTTTATTGTAATGGGTATATTGTATTATGAGTTTATCTAGTGTGATTTGGAATTATTTCTTGCCAGCATTTTACCTGCAACATTTATTGTGAAATGAAAATGACAAAAAAATCAAAATCAAAACGAAGGGTCCATAAAATTTGGCTTAGATTGGTTTATTGAAAAGAAACTCCGAAGTGTATTCCAAAAAAATATACCACTGTTGATGTTTTGTTCATCCATGTTATTTTGGTTTCAGTTTCATTTTTATATCATTTACTTTAAAATTTGACACATATAGTACGTCGGGATAGATAAAAACATTTCTAATTTTATTTGACTTTCTTGATGTAAACTTGCTGTATCCTGCATTGTTTTCCGTACATATCAGACTACATAGCAAACCTCATTCAACCTCTTTTTGGGATTAAATCTTACTAATACATCGTCATTAATTTTAAAGTAGTTATGATAAAAATAAGCGAAATTATTCTTATACAACACTTTAACTACCAAATCTTCACTCACAGAACAGGATCCCACTATCTAATTCTGTATTTCCCTTTTTATTTTTCAAGTATAGGTCCACCAACTTCCCTAAATTTCGAATGTTATCTTTATCTTTAATATAGTTCTTCTTCTTCTTTTGGCGTCATAACCCTGGATGGGTCTTTGCCTATCTGGCTATGTCCTTCCATTCAGATCTCTCTTGAGCCTTTCTCCTCCATTGTCTTATATTCATAGTTTTCAGATCGTCTTCCACATCATCCAACCATCTCGTCCTGGGCCTTCCTTTTTTCCGCCTTCCACTATAACTTCCACTATAAATCTTCTTTGCTGTTTTCGTGTCTTCTTCTCGCTGAACATGTCCCAGCCATGATAGTCTTCGACAAATCTTACAATGTCATACCCTTCATTCAGTTCATTAACCTCGTCGTTCCTCCTGGTTCTCCATGTGCCGTCTTTCTCTTGCACCGGACCATATACTTTTCTATATATCTTTCTCTCGAATGTTCTGAGTTGGGCTTCCTCTTTTTTCGTTATTGCCCAGGTTTCACAACCATAGGTTATTACGGGTCTAATCAAAGTTATGTAGATAGTCATGTTTGTTCTTTTGCCTAATAATTTAGATCTCATCAATCTTTTATTAGCATAGTATGTGCGATTTCCACTGGAAATACGTGGATTAATGTCGTTACTTCCGGAATTCTTCTGATTGATTTCTG